CCCAGATATCTGTATTTAGGGCCACACATGCTTTTTCCTGGCATTACCTTGTGACTCAGTGATCAAATCAGGAGTCAACTATCTTGTTGTGGCTGCAAGTATCACAACAGTCCTTGAACCTCAGTAAGTAAATGGCTCTCCATCAGCATAAAAATGCCTAAGTGTCTAACTCACCAAACCCCTCCTTACATATCCTTGAAAGATGTAATTGCATACATCTAATTGCTAATAGTAATTGCATAGTAACATGGGAACTAAGAATCACACCTTTGTATTTAGAATTCAAGGTCTGATCTCACTTTTCCCAAGAAGCAACAAAATCCTTCATTGTATGGGTCAGAAATTACTGTCCCTGCCACTAATAAAGGACAGTGTAGAGAATTTCTCTGCCTGTAGAGAAATGCTTGCAAACAAGTGACCAGTGAAAACTTTTCTGCAGAATTCTAGCACATCTTACAGCAACTTCAACTTGTACAATCTGATATCTCTTTGCACACTGAAGAACATGTAACTTCACTGAAGTGACTTCCTCATACTCTCTTATCCTGATCTTGCACAAGGAAAATGCACAACTCGATACATAAACCAGTGTTAAATCTACAGCATATGTACTTATCAGCACTGCTCACCTTTGCCCATTTCTTTGGACTTGGCTTCAGATGTAAGGGAGTCAAGACTTGGTGACAGTTTATAAACATGCGCAAGGATGAAGTTGGTGGTAATAAGTAAGTGGTGCCTAGTGATTGCTCTGGAATATTTTGATAAACCCAACCTTTGGAAATGGAAACCCTTTGATTCAGTTCCCTTCGACTTGATCCTTTTCTAGTAACATGCAATGACTTACTAACCAAATAACTAACTTGCATTTTCCCATGGTTAAAATCTCATGGGGTATTCTTTAGAACAGCAGATAAATCTTTTTTTTCCACCTACGGAGATGCTTTTGCATTCAATGTACAAAAGGAACAAATTTGACATGTTAACACTTACTTAACTACTTCTAAAAATGGGCCTCCATATAGATACATGCACAATTCTTTACAAAAAACCTGAACAACAACTTCACAGGACAATCTAGCTAATTGTTTACCAACATAAAAAATTTTAATCTTATCATTCCAACATTTCTTTTCAAATTTCTTGAACGTTGCAGCAGACACAACCGGTCTATCTCTCTAGATACACTTTCATACAGAACAAAACAGAATTTCTAAGACCTCCATTTGGCAAAGCATTGCTGTGACTTTTGAGAGACTGACTAGATGTCAGGAGAACTACAATGAAGAGAGATGTCATTACCAGATGAGATCGGTGGCATTTCTGGTATGCCAGATGTTGTGGATCTTGAAGGAAGAGTCTTCCTTTCACCTAAATCTGAAAAGATAATCTTGTGTTAAAAGGCTTAAAATTGCCTCAGAGCTACTTGGATAGCACAGGACTCAGCAGACAAATGTTGCTTTGTTAAAATGGAAGCACAGGGAAAATTGTGTGCAAATCAGCTAACATTACTCTGTGTCATGGACTGTCTGGCTGGTGTAGAAGCTGATGTGGAAACCAGGTGACCTAATTATTCATACCGATGAGAAGTCTTATTACTGCTTAATAATCTTAGCACATTATGAATGGCAGATAGTAAGAAAACACCTTTTGATCCAAAAAACAGTCAGTGGGCCTGCCAATATAAACCTGAATGGTATTGGTGTTCCAAGAACCGGTAGATTATTCAGCACAGAATTTAGCAGACTATGGCATTCCCCCTTCACCTCCTTCTACCCCTTCTCCATTGCCCTCACCTCTTAACTTGTTCGTGCTCAAGCAATGCTTAAAAAACTTAAGCATCCTCACATACCAAAGACTACAGGAAAAACAACCTATCTCCAAAGCTATAACTCAAAGTATAGCTTAGTTAAAAAGGTCTGATCTGAGATGTGACAACTTTCTTATTTTAAGGCAATACATAGGAAAGCTCACAGCAAAATGTTTATGAACACTGAAAAACTGACGGAAAGCAAGAAAGAAGAAGAAAATCTTATCCCTAAAAAGTAACATATTTTACTTGACTGTAATAGTCTTAAGTTTTGCAGAATTTAAATCTTTTCTTGATACAGCTATTTGATCAATACTGCATTATTCTTTAAGCTAGTTGCAGTCTTTCTACAAACCTGTGTGTGCCTAGTCCCAGGAATGATGATGCTGATACAGAATTTGAAAAAATAAAACATAGGGCAACACCCAAGGCAAGCAGTATGCAATAGCTGTCTGAAATTGTCAACATGGAAGCAGTAATAAACTTTTCAGCACCAACCAATCAAATGGGTATGCTTCTGAAATAATATTATTATAATTTACCAGTGCCTGGTATTTCTGAAGATGTAAAAGTTTGGGGAGTAGAAATAACATGAAGAAAGTCATGTGAAGCTGGAAAAGAATAGCAAAAATTCTGCTGTATTTGACAGCTCTATTCAAAACAACCCTGTTTTGAAGTGACAAGAATCATCCTGAAACAGGATCGTATTCTTTTATGAGTTGACAAAGCCTCTGGGTAATATTTAACGCACTATGTTCCACAGAAAGGTAGAGTCTGAAATGTACAATAACTGATTGTGACTTGAAAATTATTTCCAAGACTATGCATTAATAAACAGATATATAATGCAATTAATGACCAAACAGTTCTCAGAATTACACAAAAAGAAGTTGAACTATAGAGTTAAAAAGGAGAAACACAAGGCTATTCAAAATAGGAGAACAAATTATAAACAAAAAGTAGCAAACTGGGACTGCATGAAATTTTTGTTTAGAGCTCCTAGGATC